CACTTTCCTAATATAGCTCAAGGAGCCCTGACACAGACCTGGACAGGATGTGCTGACTCTCAACCAGCTGAGAATCAAGGAGGCTGCCTTCTTGCTTTTACTGATGTTCCCTCTCTGTCATGTCCGGCCTCATGTGCCCCGTCTGTCCGGATGACATGACTTCTCTCTCCTGCAGCGTCTCTATATGGTAGCCGGGGGGCGAGGACGGTCCAGGAGTTTCTGTGGTAAGGACGTCTCTCTTCTTCTTCTTCTTCTTCTTCTTCATGTTGTTCTCATCTCCTGTCAGAAGTGCGTGCAGAGGCTGATCTCTATCACACTGCACACTGCTGGAATCCATGCTAACACTGTTTGAAATGTAATCTATATTTACTTCTTTATTGTTGCTGAAAAGATACTAAAACACAAAGCTTCTTGGTTGATTTATATTCTAACAAAATAACTTTCTAAGTGACCAGCGCTGCAGTGTTAGCTCATGTAAGCACATTCCCCATCTGTTCCCTCTTCTAAATACCACTGAAAGCTGTCTGCGACACTTCCTACGAAGCCCAGCTCTATCACCCTATACATAACATTAAAAAGGTTAACACGCTGTAAAATCTAATACAAGTTTTGCCTATAGGGCCATGTTCAGTTGAGTGTTTTGCATAAAAGGCTAAAGCTAAATTGTTGTTACATCTCATTTTTGGTTAAGTCTTTACTTTGACTATTGTAAAATGCTTTCAATGTTATTGATACGTTTTAAAGTTTACGTTTCTACTGTCCAGGGATTAAAGGGTTGACAGGGTGGAACATATTATAAAGATAAACACTTTACATAACTTCACTTAAAGCAGACAGGGCGCTTCATGAAAGCATCACATACAGTATAATCTGCACCACACCTGATAACACTTCAATAGCTGTTCCTGTAATGACTTAAAGATATGCGCTTTGTTACAAGGAAGAGCTGTTTTTATTACCTATCTGATTACATAACCTTTTAGAATAAATAAATGCTCTTCGTTTGATTTGAACTCTTTGACTGACAGTTGTTAGTTCAGGCCGTGACAGCAGCTTCTGGAGCTGAACAGAAAGGTAGACAGATACCTACAAGTCATATTTACCAGGCAAATAAGCTGCACTGCCCACACAGGTTTGCATAGAAAGCGAAAGCGTCCGAGGAAAGTTATTACAATGCCTGACAGCTGAGCAGAAAATATGAATCAGCTGGAAGAGGGCAGAAGTATAAAAGATCAAGCAAAACATGTCACACAGGGTTATGATCGACACAGACCTGCAGCACAATGTGAGTACACACAGCTGATAGCCACTGCATGGCTGCTTTCTATTCTGTGATGTTTGCAAGAGCAGTATTCATTCAGACCTTACCCATTTGACCTATTTGACCCGCAGGGTGTTGATGGGGGGCTTTTTATTATTAGCTATAACTTATCAGGCCAGTGATTATCAAACAAGACCAGAAGTTAAGCTACTACTTATGTTTACCTTGAGTTTTTAACAGTATGATTTTATGAATGATTCCAGTGTCAAATGTCAATGAGTGGCCGTAATGAGAAAACTAAAAAAAGCCATTAATGACTTCTGTATATGCTATAATTGTAGACTAATCTCACGCAAAGAGCAAAACCAACAATGAATTAGTCCGTGTCTCAGTAGTTCTTAAATCTGAAAGTAAGTAATAACACAAATCACAAATATTAAATTTCAGCTGGTCGATGTAGTTTGATTGATCAATCATTACACAATAAGAGATTAATTCTGTATTCCCTCGACAGGGTATACAGTATATATAAATATTACATTTGTATGAAGAGCTAATTCATATTTTACAATTTGAAATATGGTCTGTGAAACCTTTCTTTGTTTTGTACTTCCTCAGGAGGAGCCGGTCAAGTCATTCCCTCAGCCGGTGGAACAGCATCAACTCAACAATCTCAGCTCACTCCGGAGCACTCAGGTTGGACTTGGACACACACACACACACACACACACACACACACACACACACACACACACACACACACACACACACACACACACACACACACACACACACACACACACACACACACACACACACACACACACACACACACACACACACACACACCATTGGACAATCTGGCATGATGCAAAAAAGTCATTAGAGGCTTTGGTTATTTCCATATCTGGATCATTGCTGGTTATACTGCATGGAATTCTGTCAGGGCGAGATGCTAAGGGGGGGGGGGCGAGTCATGCATTTACCTTATATCCTGATTTATGATCTCCTCCTCCCTGTGGTCAGTGTGATGGACGTCCTGAACCTGTGGAACGACGACCCGGAGGAGGTTCTGCTGGAGATGGGCTTTGGCTGCGACGAGCCTGACCTCTCCGGACGCATCCCGGCTCGATTCATCAACTACCAGTCTCAGGCCAAAGGGATAAACCTGCATGTGTTTCTGGAGGCCCAGCAGAACCGGCTGGACCTGGAGAACCCAGACGTCAGCAGTAAGTCTGGATTCCAGCACCATGACCACCGGTACATGAATGTGAAGAATCATTCCTGATAACACAAGTGATAACAAGATTTCCCTGTCTTCTCCCTCCAGATCGCTTCAGACAGCTCGAGGTTCTCCAGCAGGTGACCACAGCGTTCTCCTCCCTGGCTGGGCCTTCCTCCCCCCTCAGAGCCCCCCTGGGGAAAGCCCTGACTCCTGAGGCCCGGGAGAAGAGGCGGCACGTGGGCATGCTGTTCAGGCGAGCGTCAAAGAAGTCCCTCAGCCAAATCCACAGCCAGAAGTCTCTTGACCTAACCACACCGGCTGCTGATCCACCTGAAGCTATGCAACCTCCATCCAGCCTTGGAGACAAGAAACCTGCCTTAAAAAGAGCCAAACCTGGACTCCTGGAGACCGTGTGTCTGAGTCCTCTGGTGGAGGAACAAGGACCCGGTCCGGACCCTAATATGGCTGCTTTCACAGTCCAGGGGGGAGCCCTCAGACACGGGCCCCTGACAGAAGGTCAACCCAGACCCCCAGCCAACACTTTACTGAGGAAGAGGAGCACAGGACCGGCCAGGGAATCATTTGAAATGGAAGAGGCAAGTTGAACTGCAACTGCCACAGATCTCAAAGTGTATCAATTTCAACCCTAGCAATAGCATCCTTTGTAGGTTTGCCTGTTGGAAGTGAAGAGTTTCTTATTTTCTGACTTCCCCCGATTTCTTCTTTTACAATGATACATTTTGATTGACTTACAAAAGCTCATATTTACCCTATTTAAAAAACGATATCTCAATCCATCTCTTTTTATTTCTTTACCTTGAGCATCCATTCCTGACAATAAAGCATGATGTAAATGCTGATGGTTGGAAAAATCAGTATCTTTGTGTTTTTAACTTTATATATATTAAACATGTTAGTTGTATGTTAATGCAGTTACTAGGAGATATGATTGAAATTAGATAATAAAATGCAATCAAGTAGAACAAAGTCACTAACTCGTACCCTTAATATAGACAGTGTTGAATGTATTAACACATTTCTGTAAACTAAACGTTAAATCTTAACTAATATATGATTTGCAGCCGAGCTGATCCAATGGGATTGCAATATGCATTTAATAACTCATACCCCCACACACATCTCTGTTGTTGTTAACATTGTCCTTTTTTATATTTATCATTCCAGATCCACAGTTTTGATGAAAGTAGTGCGACAGGGAGCTACACAGGAGGATCAGAACATTTAGGTGGGTCTCTAAACCTATTATTATTTATTCAAGTATTCTCAATTCGCTTGCTTGCTCGCTTTCTCTATATTACCACTCCTGAAAACACAGGCAAAGTAGTTCCTTAACAAAACTTTATCACACCTGAATGACACTTTACAACACAGACCGCTTATTCGACTTAGAGTGTTTGTTTTACATGATAGAACTATCAACGGGAACATAAATATGTAAATCACCGGCATACAGTTTCAGCATCATTGGACAATCTCGCATGATGCAAAAAATGCAAAGGCATTAGAGGCTTTGGTCATTTCCATATGGGCATCATTGCTGGTTATACTGCATGGTTTTCTGTCAGGCCAAAACATAGTGACCTCTCTATGAAAACCTGGCGCTCCAATACATTGTAGGTGACAGGCTAAGGGGCGGGACATCTCTAAGCGGTTGACCAATCAGAACAGAGCCAGCCAGCTAACCAATCAGAGCAGACTGGGCTCTGGTTTCAGACAGAAGGTGAAAAGAGGTGCTGCAGCACAGGCAGTATGAGAACAATAAAGAGCATGGAGACATGTCACAGTAAAGACACCACATACTGATATACACCTGAACATCAGCATCTCCATGCTCTTTATTGTTCTCATACTGCCTGTGCTGCAGCACCTCTTTTNGTGTGCCTTGACATCAGCAGGAGAGGACTCTTTAAAGTAGAGACACTACATACTGATATACACCTGAACATCAGCAGGAGAGGACTCTTTAAAGTAGAGACACTACATACTGATATACACCTGAACATCAGCAGGAGAGGACTCTTTAAAGTAGAGACACTACATACTGATATACACCTGAACATCAGCAGGAGAGGACTCTTTAAAGTAGAGACACTACATACTGATATACACCTGAACATCAGCAGGAGAGGACTCTTTAAAGTAGAGACACTACATACTGATATGAAGCTGATGTTGAGCACAATATGTCCTCTAAACAATTGAATTTAAAATAGTTATTATCGCTTTGAGATATACTTTGCCGCTCTCTGGTGTGTTTTTGGTGTTAGCTGGAAGAAGATTTGGCAGCAGTCGACAAAGCTATACAAGGCTCAAAAAGGTGACAATAAAAGTCACATCCTGCTCATGTTTTAACTAAAAACAGAACCCTCAGCTTTGGTTTCCAGTTAGATTGAACACATCACATAATGGAGGGTCGATCATATATTCTCACAGTTTTCTCGACACTTTTTACTAACAGCCAGGAGTGATTTTTGCCAGGAATCCAGTGGATTCTTCTGCAAGGTGTTATGACAAGTATTGTTGCGGTGGCGGAGGGCTTCCCACTGTTCTGTTCTAATAAGCATGGAGCGGGACCGGGGTTGTTGTGACATCCTGTCAGCCTGTGGGCCGCAGGACGATGGACTCCCCATGATTGTGAAATGACCTTTGCATCATGGGAAAGATGACAGGTAATTTAGAGGCCTCAGGGACGGCAAACACTTTCTGTCCCCAAACCACCCACAGCACCCGAGACAGAGTGTCACACACACACACACACATGCAAAAATATACTGAGGAATCAATCATATGCACCTAGAAGTCACACACTTAGGTCACATTCACACAGGCAGTCCAGCCATGAAATGTTCAGGGACTTTTCCTGCATCAGGTTATGTGTGAATACTTAGGACCGAGTATAAACACACTTTCACTCATATGTACATGGAAATTAGTAAATTCACTATGCCGGAGATTATATAGAGTTATGTGCAGCAGGTGGCAGTAATGCAACACTTATGGATGTAAACTGCTGTAAAACTTAACAGAAGAAGAAGACAAGGAAAGGCTGTACATACACAGCGGAAAACATCCCTTCATTTCTTTAAAGGGGACATATTCAGTTAATTTCAGGTGTATATCAGTATGTAGTGTCTCTACTTTAAAGAGTCCTCTCCTGCTGATGTTCAGGTGTATATCAGTATGTAGTGTCTCTACTTTAAAGAGTCCTCTCCTGCTGATGTTCAGGTGTATATCAGTATGTAGTGTCTCTACTTTAAACTACTTCCTAGTAATTTAGGAAACAGTTTGATAAAAGAGTCTTTGCAAACACACACACATCGTCACACACACTCTAATCACCTGCATCATCACAACGCTTCCCAAAACAACCAAAT